CCTTCCACGGGTGTTGGAGGCACATGGGTCACTGGAATTCCAGCGATGGCCAAAGTTCGCTGATTGGATCCAGCGGGCAGGCTTGGTCTCGTGGTCGGCAACTCTGTGGATTTTCCTCCATAGCTGATCACCGAAAAGGAATCCTCTTCGGGGTCTGGAAGAAGATCTGTCCCGGAGGGACTTCCCAGGGCAGCGCCAGGCGGGCGCTTTTGCAGTTCCACGATCTCTTGAAGCATGTGACGCTGGCGACCCAGTTCTTGGCACATGGTTTCCAGCTGGTGAGTGAGAGCAAGCGGCATCTCTTCCTCGTCCATCTGAGGCTTCATCTCGATCAGGCTCATGGAGAGCTGAAGCACCAGAGTCAGGGTCGCCATGATGGCATTGGCTGCGTCCTTCAACATGCCAATCATCTGAGCGTGAGTCACCATGGTTCGCAAGTTGAACGCACGAAACTTCAGGCTTTGTCTCTGTACTTGGACCAGTGCTGCTATGTACAACTACAGACTCAAAAGGCTTTTCGGATTGCATTGGCAACTTGGTTTTGCAAAAAGCAGGTGGTGCTGTCCATCGGTGCTGAACGGATGGGAGCTTTTGTACACTTTCGGAGCCCTTGACATGTTGGGCATGTCCAACAAAACTTTCAGGCATGCTATTGGTCGGATCATGTTCATGACAAAACTCAACAACATCCATCACGTACAAACCTGTGGCATTCGTGTCGAGATCGATTGTCTTTTCCAGTCGGCTCAGGGTGCATCGATCTTTGGTGGTGTCCAGAATGCCACCCAGCTGTTTGAAGGCTCTTTTTGAAAAGAGAAACGGAGTGCTGCCTTTGACAACTTCTACGCCTAACCAGACTCTCTCACAATTTTGACTCCAAAAGGGAAAGTAAATTCTCTTCTGACTCGTGAGGGTTTCATTGTTACCAAACCTGAACTTGATCTGGCTTGGGCGCTCCTTTAAACTCCTACAAACAGACTCGGGCAATCTGCTCAGCAGCTTTTGCAAAACGTTGGTGCCTATGATACACCAGCTTGCACCTGTGTCCAAAATGGCAAAGGTGCTCTTCTCATCGCTGACTTGGAGGACGGGCATCTCAACGACTTTCTCCATGTCCGACTTCCTGTGCAGGCGGTGCATGTCATGACATGTTGGGAGGCTTTGTGTCTTCATGGACTGGTTTACGGATGCATTGGACACGGGGACACATTGATGGTCTGGGTTCGTTACATGACCTCTTGGCTGGCCCTTGACACGGACAAGACCGGACATGTGATGCTGCAACCTTATACGATTATGTTGATTATTAAAACCAAACATGTCTTGAGGGAAAACAGCACCTACCGTTCCAACTACCGCAGTGAAACATTCAGCTTCAGAGGCCTCATCACTGAAATCACCATCTAGGAAAATCTCAGGCTCATCATGTAGAGGTTCTTCAGGAATGGCCACATTGGCCGCAGCAGCTGCATTGTTGGCTGACGTCGTGGGATTTGAGCCACCTGTGGTCGAATTGCGAAGCGGACATTCCGCTTTCCAGTGGCCCTTCTGATTGCACAGCCTGCAGGTACTGCGGGCAATCCGGGCTAACAGCCCTTGGCGGCCCCCTTTGCCCTTGAAGCCCTTGCCCTTGGCTCCAAATTTTCCACCTCCTTTGTGCGGCCAGAAACCTCGTGTCTTGCGCTTGTCAAGCAAGCGCTGTCGGGCTTCAACATACGTCACCATGGCCTGGTGCATCTCGGGCGTCTCCTGAATGAAGTCTTCGAACTCAGCCTCGAAGCTTTGAACTACCTGTGCATCTTGGTCATCCTGGGCGACCATGGCCTCCAGATAGTCAGGATCAATTTCATGTTCTTCATCATGCATTCCTACAAAGGCTACCTTTTCATTGGCATCATCATTGGTTGAGGCGTTCTCCTCGGTGAACATCATGTCATACACTTTCGTCTTGGTGGAGGCCTTCCCAGTCTGGAACTCGTGGAAGAACTTGCTACCGATCAACCTCAGTGACTTAACCACCGGCTGGTAGGAAAGTTTTCCACCATGCTCCAAGAGAATCTTCTTCTTGTCCCCCGACGGCAATGTTGACAGCCGGAGAAGAACATATGCTTGAATCTCTTCCAGGGAGGTCTTGCGAGCGATCAACTCGGTGAAGTAACCCTCCATGCGGGAGATGTAGGAGTCGTTTGACTCATCATGACGCTGGGTCGTGCTGTAGATGGCCTTTTCGAAAAACTCATACCTGTTGAACCCCATTGTCCACCCAGAGTCTCCACCAGCAAGGAGACACCATCAAGTGTCTTCACCCTCAGCTTGGCCCCATCTAAACGAGACACAGCTGTGAAGGCGGAACCTTCCACCTGGAGGGCGGCACGTGGTGCCAGCAAGTCAAGGTGTTCCGGTGGCCAAATCGATGCCAGGAACTTGAGTTTTCTCACATAGTCTTGCGCATTCGTAACACCTGGGGTGAATTTTGGAATCGCCTGCCACGGAAGTTGAGAAGCTGAAACCGGGGGTACATCATCTGGTACAGGAATTCCGAGCCCACTCATCTCGGCTGCCAGTACTTCAAAGAAAAATTGCCCTGGATCCAGGTTCTTTCAACAAGTAGTCGGAACCCCCTGGCTCCGCTACCAGTGTGAAAGGGGTGGCAGCCCCAAAACACACTGGCAGCTTCCTATCAAACTTGCAATCTAGCCCTGCTAGTCCAATTTGGTTCCTACCAAATGAAGAAGATGAAGAAAAGGATCACCCTGTGATACTCGGAGATGTTGACCCTGTCAAACTTATCCAGCAATCCCGGATCGCCCAACAGCACTGGTTTTGCTATGGCGCCAAAGTCTCGGCACGGCGAGCCCACACCTCAGCCCTCCCTTTGGCCTTTGAGCCTAGTGCTCAGCAAAGCCAGGAAAGGCATCTGCAGGTCTCAGGTCAAAGCAAGGTTGGCTTCACGAGTGGATTTCACACACACACACATATATATATATATATTTACACACACACACATATATATATATATATAAATATTCATAGACGCTGACGCACACACACACAAGCTGTACCAATCGGGATAGCTAGCAGTTACATACACGGGAGCACGTTCCAGACACCAAGTTCCTCACTCTTCATACCAAGGTGCTTCGGTGAGTTTTGCCGCTTTCCGCGGCATCTTAGACTTTGCCTCTTGGACGGCCAAAGGGAACAGATGACGGAGATTCACAGGATGCCTCACAAAGAGGTGCTCGGATGTCCCATTCAGGTTGAGCTCCAACACCCGTGGTCTATTTGATTCAAGAATAAAACACGTTTTGGGCAAATCCACTGACTTGGTTTTCGCTTCTGTATCTAAACCTGTCAAATCCACTACGATTTGCTGGATCATGTGGGACGTCCAAGGCAACCCCACTGCAAGTGGGATTTGCCACCAACCTCCTCAACGCCTTCCTGGACCCCTTGCTGATGCACCCTGGGCAGCGGTCCCTGGTGGGGTACTGATTGCAGTTGATGGTTTCTTTTTTCCAAGGAACATCCTTATATAGATGCCAGCTCTGATTCCTGTGTTTCACATTCTTCTGAACCGAACTGAAATTGAGAGTGGCATGAGTTTCCCCTGAACGATCAGCAGCAAGAAAGACAAGCACCATATGTACTTACTTGCATTCGAAACGCATGTCACATGTTTCTTGCTGTCCAATTTCCATGTATCCCATTGATCGAGCCAGCTGATCCAATACAGCGCGAGAACTCCAATACTTGGCTTCGCTCATCCAACATTTCATGGGATTCCGTTGCCTCACCCAACCCGAACAAGGAACGTCCTACCACGGATTGTCACTGAAGGTAGTTCATTTTTGTGGTGTGTCCTCCAAACAATCCTCATGATAAAACTTCTGCTTCTGTCCCGGCCATGTTTTACATTACCAAGGTTGGCATGTCTGCATCCATGAATACATTATTATTAATTATTATCGGTCCTTGCCAAGTCTAGCGAGTGTGATGGGGGATAGGGTGTTGCTTGAGTATCATCAGTTTTGTAGGTAGTAGGGCCGGCAGAAACTCAGCAGTTGGCGATCGCCCCAGGTTACATCCTCTAAAAGCAGCAAGGGAGCATCATTGATGGTCGTAAAGTGGGAGCTGAATTGGGGTCCACAATGTCCGCATCCACATGTATAAGTTTAAGAAGTAGGGGCAGTGTGCAGGTAGTACGTGGCCATGATTTTGTGTACTGCTATTTAGCGCTTCAAAACTGCCTTTGAATTAGAACCACTTATAAGTATTTACTGTATAGTCTATAGTTGGGTTATTAGAACCCCTTCTAACTGCCCCAAAAGCATCCAGAAAGAAGACCTACTGGGATACTATCCCATTGGTTTTTCAACATCCCCCTATGGACGATAATTGAATTTGGCAGCACCCGAACTGTCAGAGATGGTGATGGAGAGATCACACCTGTGAGGAGGAGCTCCACGATTAATCCCCGAGGGCTTGGCAAGTGTTTACACCCCGGCCTCGAAAAGAATACCTTCAATTGATGCTGTTTTTTTTTTTGGTGGGGTTGATGAACAAACATACTTATAGGATCTTATAGGATATCATGACCATCAGAATTATTATTCAGGCATCATAACACATTCATATCATTCATATGCTACATGCATATAACACATATAGCTGTTATCTCATATAAAGAATGATATCTATATGTTTATGACATGAGATATTCGATATCTTTCTGACACACATATATGACTAGTACAAGTATTGTTTTCAAGCTATCTATATATATATTTCTGTATTATTATTATTATCATTATCATTATTATTATTATTATCATTATTATTATCATTATCGATATTCACATTTTAGTTCTGCAAACACACACGTGCACACACACACACATATACTGTATGTTTTTATTTATTCATATATATATATATATATCCATGTATATATATATATATGTGGATATGGAGATCATCAGCCCAGGAACAACTTCGGCATGGGCGTCTCCGGTGTGGCTTTGGCCAGTACCGTGGCAGAGCTCTGCAGTGCTTTGGTCTTTGTGGCGCTGCTGCGGCGTCGCGGGCTGCTGGCGCCAAAGCCGGCGCTGCCAGCGACGCGACTGGCGGTTGATGGGATTATTATGATATATGAACATATGACACTTGGTGTTTGCTTGAAATCTTTTTGCTTGGAATGAGGTGACTATAAAATATCCAATCTGAAAGTGGAAGATTTAGGCTGTTGATATCTGTTGATGTTGGGAATTTGCTGTGATTTGGTCCTTTTTGGGCCATGGAATTTCAAGATCTCCTGAGGCCATTTCAACGATGAAGAGCTTCATACAGAACGGGATTGCCGTGCAGGCTGGGCCAGCGCGCAGTGCGGCGTTTAACGGGGGGCAGTCAGAAAACTCATGACCAATTGAGGCATTGTATGGCATTGTATGGCATTGTATGGCATTATATCATCAGTATCATCACACCCAATAGGGTAAGTGATCATAAATAATGCCAAAGTTCAGCGCTTACATTTTTCCAGCCCTTCTTTTGGACCTCGGACTCGGCGCGGGCTTGAGATTTGCAATGCAGGTGAGATCGGTGACCACCAACTTAATGTTCCTTCTGGCTGCAGCTTGGTTTACTGGGATTCAGGGAATCTGATTTTTCCATCAGTCATGCTTATAGCACCCCCAAGATAGATAAGTAAAATCCTACTAGAATAGGGATGCGGGATGCCCTACTTTTGATTTTTTTGGGAATACTATTGCTATAACCTAATTCCGAAATCTACCCTGTTTTCATTCAACGGTTCGCCAGGTACGACGTGTCACCATGATGGATCCCAGTGGGGTTCAAGCAGCAGCCTACCAGGTGACGCAGCAGTTCTGGAATTTAGCAGGTGCCACGGTGTCATGGGCAGTTCCCCATTCGATTGTTGCAAAGATGATCAAAGATGTAGTCCTATCAAGTCTTATCCCCTACATCCACGGAGAGGTTGATATTGGGAAGGAATGGATGCCAAGCCTGGATTAAGATTGACACTTCTGCGACTGAAAAGATACGATCCTCAGATGCAGGTTTTATCTCCCAAGCTCTTTCAAGTTCGGGCGCTGGACTGATTCCGAACAAGTACTACGACCAGAATGCAGGCATGGGCAATCCAGTGCGGTTGATGTATTGATGCCATCTTTGAGCTGCGAAAAAGGATCCCCCAAGGGAGAATTTGCCGTCCAAATTAAGCTCCGATGGCTTCAAATACGATGTCCAAAATTGTTTGTTTCGCATATTAGCCAAATATGCTTGGGCTGCCTCTGGTTCTTGGACACCCGAATCTGAAGTCCTTCAATTTGATTGGGTGGACCCATGGATGGGAGAGGGTGAGAATTTGGAGTTGCAGATGTTGGATGCAATGGTGACAAGAACTGTTGATGCCAAATTTATCAAGAATCATCAAAATTGATTACAACTTTTGTCCCAGCAATTGTAGAGACATCTCAAAGCTTCTCGAAAAACAAGCTTTTGCCTTTCACAATGGTCCTTATATTTCTCTTTCATTTCGGGGTCGTCAAACATTCAATGACTCAAAGATGAAGCATCATCATTTCCAGTAGTGAGATAGTGGTGAGCCGCCCGGTGACAGTTAGATTTACCAAGGAATTTGCTGCATTCTCACTATTGCATTTCCATTTTTCAAAGATTTCCACTGAAACCAACCCAGTGACATGGGACAATTTACCAGGAATCTCGTTATTTCAAAAGTCTATGCTACGCTCGCAAAATCTTAGGAGTCGACGATGCGCGCCGGCTCGCAGATCGTCGCTCAGCCTGCAATGATGCCATGAAAATAGGGTACATTCCCTAAATTTGATATTTAAATGACCTACACGGGCTTAAATGACCATAATTGGGGATGTACCCATTTTTGGACACCTTTTTTTTGGGAGGGGCATCTACTTACGGCTTCGAGTTGTTCCAATGGTTCCACCAACAATTTGTGTTTTAATACTGTACCAACAAAATGATGAACCCGTGAATTCAGGTTTGGTAACCCCCGAAAAGAAAAAGTAAACTATCAATATTCTAGTAGGATTTCGTTTTTCTATCTCTTTGGGAGGGACTCAATTTCTGTGGCGCCGAGGACTGTATCTGTGGGGCTGCTGCTTGGGAATCCTCTTGTGCCTTCTTCAGCTGGCATGTTTGCCCTTGGTGGGTATCCTGGCACCCATCAAGGATCGGACCGCAGCTCCAACGATGAGTTCTGACGGGGGGTGGTAAACTCGATCCAGAACATTAAGCAAACTCAGGAAACACATGATGTTACGGCTGCGAAATGTTCGAAGATTCTTCCTTCAAATTTCAAGCGGACCATTCGCCAGGAAGTGCAAGAGGCTGCTCGCACCCCTGCGCGCCTTGGCCATTACTGAAGGCTCAGGGGGGTGGCACTTTGTGAGGCCTCAGAAAACCAATCTGCTCCCAGAAGCCCAGGATCTTGGCTGCGATACTGCAGATCCTGAACGGCACCTGGGGCCCAAAAACTGGAGAGAGACGTCCTGCAGGTGGCTGCCCCGTAAAGCAAGCCAAGAATCAAATAGTTTTTGGAATCTGAAAAAATCTTTCAGACCAATCTTTGTTGCATTGACAAACAAGGGAAACTTGCTTATGCATTTTCAATCATTTTTACATATCTAGGCTACCCTCAGGATGTTCCTAGCGTAGCATCACCTGGGGTCTAAGGGATACTGTAAGGTAAAGGATGAAGGATGATAAAGTGCTTCAAATTCTTGACAAGAGCCCATGTTTTTTCCCATGAAACCTGTGATTTTCACCCTTTGGAGCCCTTAAAACTTCGGATCCCTCCTAAAGTGCGGACGATTTCCCCCAGAAAATGATCGACATCTATCCTCGCATCTCCGGCCATATTTTGACAAAGCCCAGGTGCAGTATTTGCGGGTGAAGGTATCCTGGTAGGCCTCAAGGCCTACCGATGGCTGGCGGCCAGCAGTGGCATCGGCTGTGCGTGCATGCTGCTGGCCCTCAATGGGTGGTTATCGGGTGGATCTTATCCGAGGGGTTGGGATTGTTTACGGAAGAACCCGTGGCTTGCAGACACGGGAGAGTCCAGCTGCAATTGACCCATAGTGACCCGTGACAGCGTCCTTACTAGCCAGCGGTCACCACTTCAGCTCAGGGTGACTTGCCTCTACCTCTTTGGCAACGATGCCCTGACAGGACCTGATGGGTTGCAGGCTAGTAGTAATGGGATCGCAAACCAATTGCTAGCACGCTATTTGTTTGTCAAACCGATGCTTCCCCTCAAGTCCAACCTCGTAATATATCCATTGGTACATAAGAAAACTTTGGATTTTCTCCATTGGTCGAACAAGCTTCGGACTTTCACAAGAAAGATGGAGATCTCATTGATCTCATTGGTTTCCCCTGGGCATTGTGAGCATTGCCATGCGGCTGCATGCGGCAGGGCTGTGGTTGGGGTTGTACCTCTTCAACCTCTCCCGCCTTGTGGCTTCGTTGAGTCATCGCTTCCGCTACGGGCCCTTGGCCCAGCGCGAAGCGACGGCCATGGTGCGGTGAAGCCTTACTGGGCCCATTCCAATGGCAATTTTTAGATGGAACATGACACTCGACCATTGGTTAATCTGGTTGAACCATGTTAAATTAAACCCGTTTTTCATCTGGCAAGCTGTTGGAAGTCTGTTGACCTTTTGGGCCCTGGAGAATGCACCAGACACATTGATTTTTTTCAGATTCCAGCAGACCCTGATGCATAGCGGCAGCACCCATAGTACCAAGTGACTCAAGTGACCCGACCCAGATGCTTACTGTGCTTGCAACATCCAAACAGAGGGATCGGAGGATTCCGGCATTCATTGCGCTCATTCTTCACATGATGACGGGGCCTGTGATGGTTTCTGGACTTTTCTTACTAACTGCCCCGCTTACCGCTGGGGCTGTGCTCATCTTGGTATCAGCCAATCTTGGCACAAGAAAGGTGAGCAGCAACATGCTGGAAATCTTTCCATTCGTTGTGGGAGGGTTGTACCTAGGAGCTCATGCCGCCACAGCTGGCGACCCAAGTAAAGTATGTGTTGCCGGTGCTACATGAGCGCTGCTCTGCAATTTTCCGGCCCGCCAAAGCACCCAAAGTGGCTTCCGATCAACTTCAGGAGCAGCGAAAAGGTTGGGCCCAAGTGTGGTACTACATCTGTGAAATTGAACAATGATTTAGATGAGGCAAAAACAACAATTTCTAAATCTAATTTTCTTCAACATGTACTGTACATGCTCATTTTTAGCTTGGTGCTCATTCTTTCACGTCTCCTCCTCTAAACGAAGGCCAAAGACAGTGCCATGTCCAAAGTCTTAAATCTCAAATCCTCAGAGCCCAAGTTGAGTCCCAATACTGCAAAGGGTGGGAGGATGCAGCACTGCCAAGTGGTGGCAAGTGGACACCCTGCCAGGCAACTATGGAGGCGTGGAGACGAAATGTGGCTCAGCAGAGATGGTTGGGATCATCCGGATGAAAAGAACTTTGCGAATTTCTACCATCCACCAAGTATCACCCCAGATCAATGGCTACTAGCCAGATGCAATGTCCCTAGTATGACGATGTTTTCAAGATTTTCGAGAGAGACAGGGTCATACAAGCATATACCAACATTCAATTTCGACCAACCCCTTGCCATTGCTAGTTGTAACATGTTGTAACCACCATTGCTGTGGCACTGCGTTCGTTGGGGCCATTGACCTCAACGCTTCCTTGGCGCCGAGGCAGGCTACGACTTCGTGCTACCCATCGGCTACGAACGGCCCTGGGAGCGCAGAGGTGGACGGCCAGTTGGGCTGGGAAGTTGGCGCTGCTCGGAGTTGATGCTTTTAATATTGGCCCATCAATGGGTATGCGATAAACGAACATGCTATGCGCCTGGAATTTCATGTAAGTGCCACGATGTCCATTCCCTCATCCGAGCGGTGGGAAGCTCCACGCCCCAGGTGTGGCCGAGGCCTCGGAAGCAGATCCATACCTCTTGCAGGTGGAGCAGGGCTGGTGAGGCTGGTGAAAGATGATGATTCTGACATATTCTGACTATTTGAAGAGCATGGGGGCCAAAGAAAAAGTGTACATGCTGGAATTATGTGGCATTTCATTTGGGGGTTTCCTGGGCTGGGATCTGCAGGAATGCCAAGGTCACCATTGGTCCAATTTGGATGTGACTTAGGAAACCACCATTTGCTTTGAGATGCAAAGCGAGCTTTTCGATTGTTGCATCACAAAAGCACCGTTGGCAACCCAAAATGGATCAATCATAGCATAGCCCATATAGAAATGAGACATAACATACGAATGTGATATCAACCAAAACATATGATATGATCATGGGCCAAAGTTTAGGAGCCAGCTACCCACAACTTTGGGCGATTTTCAACCGTGAACCACTCAATTTTTGAGGTATATACCCCCAATTTTGACCCTTATATTCCCAACGTATAGGGATCTACTGCGATGGCCAAACTTGGGATCCTTCATGACCTAATTTCCTTCAATGTCTGGCCAGACCTACGATGTCCGCTTTGGCAATGCGCCAGGGCCTTGGCATAGGATGCATCTATGGCAGTGAAACTCATTCCAAAAGGGGATGTGGCAGAAATAGGAAGGGGCTGCATTCAAAATCCCAAGCTTGCATTGGATAGAGGAAATTGGCACGGAGTTTGCTTCCCCACATTTCTGTCCCAACTCTATGACTCTTGAATCTCTTGAACCCTTCGAGCTTTCCGTTAACGGTTAACCCCCTGTGTCTCATTTGGATACGAAGATGGAAACCATCACCACCAAGGCTACTGCTGGCAACGCACAACCTCTTTTTCGGAGACCGTTTCAGTGTGCTCTCTCCGAACTATGGAGGCAAGTATCAACTACCGGGGGTTGAACAGCTTTGTTCATCATGTTTGATCCACAAACCGGAGCCTATCGGAGCCCCATGAGGTGCAGCCTATCGGACCTTGAGGCGTGACCAGCGGCATCCATGGGACCGGGACTTCCAGCGGCCCTGTGGCCTGCGCCAGGAATCTCGTGGTGCCGTTACCGTTCACCCTGAATTGCCGGGCGCCCCCACCGCCCCCAGCGAGACACTGGTGGTGCCGGGGAGGTGATTGAGGGGGTGTTATAGCACAGTCATAGCCAATTATAGCTGGCAAGAGTTCCCCTATGCATTTTTTTTGTCGTCAAAACCCCAAAAATGGATAAACAGAGGACTTCCATCCGTAGGATGGCTGAGAAAATGCTCCGTGAACGGAAGGTATTTCCAAAAAAGATGCAGGAATCAAATGGGTAAGCATGAGCAACTCGACAATAGACACATGAATCAACAAGAGATGCCCAGGCTCTTCCAGCTCAGGTACAGGTACAGTAGCTGGAATGACTCCTGCAGATTTCATGGGGTTAGTTACGTATGGTTACCACAGTAACCGTGTTACCGACAGAGTTGGGATTTAACACTATCATCATTGTTGGGTTTGCCCCGGTTGATTGGAATGAGGGTGCGCTCCAAAACTTGCAATATATACATGCATATATATAATTATATATATATATAATTATATATAATTATATATATATATACAGATAGTTATACATGTATATATATATATATTCGGTCCACCCCCCCTCCAGTAACAGTAGATAAATTGTTTTCCTTTGATCTGCCGTTTCAAAACGAGCACAAGGAAATTACCTCAAATATCTCGACTTGGAGGTGCCCCCATGTGCCCCCACCAAAAAAAAACACAAACCTGCCCTCCAACCAGGATATGTCTACCATAAACCCTAGTTAATCCTAGTTATATTCGTTAATATTAGTTGCAAACCAACCTCGCTCACTATTGGGCACCATCATGACGCATGGTTGCCAAGAGCGCCAAAATCCAGGATTTGTGGATCGTTTCTTGGGGAAATCACGGTTTCTTCAAGTAAAATCATCCCGGCATTGGTTTTTGGTGGAAAAACTCGAGAAATGTCCCGTAGTTGGAAAGAACATACACCATGGATTTTTACAAGCAAAAATAGGTTCTCCTCTCATTTGTTCCCTCATTCAATTCTGGGATGTTCGGTTCATAACTTGATTTGCGTGATAGTATCCAGCATTTCCGGCAAATTACGATGAAAATGGATCAAAAGTGGGTGGTATTTATTTTGACCTGACAACTTCTGCTTGGATGATCCTGAAAGTTTGTAGATGGTGGGTTACAACTCATGATATCCCAGCCTCACTGTAAATGATGGGCCTAACACTTCCTCAGCAGTTTCTGACCATGAACTGAGCCTGAACCAGCATTCTTTTTCCTGTCTTAGATGCCCACAGTTTTGCTGGTGAATCACCATTATGAACTTCTAAAGTCTAGCTGTGTGTATAATATAGATACACACACATAATATATATACATATACATATCAATAATATAGCATTGCTTCAATTTTTTTTCCAGCCATAAGCATGGTTTCTTAGGATCCTCAGGCACCCCATCCAATAAGTCATGGTTTATTGAGTTTATTGGTTGTTAGTAAATGTTAGTAACCGGTAACCCTTAGAATCGGTTGATCCCCCAGGCTCCACTGGAAAGCTCCAGGTTTTACAGCCCAGCCCCCAAGGCCGTGCCTGGCGCCACGCCAAAAGCTCCTTGCGGCGCTTCAGGGTGAGCTTCGCGGGGTCCCAGAATGGTGCTGGGAGGCTCAGTGTGGCCTTGGTGTTGCAGATCGCCCTCCAAGGTGGTGCCCCATAGTTAGCTAAGTTGGTTTATAACTCCCATAACTATGGTTTATGGCAGATATAACTATAGTTAATGGGGTTTATAAACCAACTTATAGCTGGGGGGCACCATCCTGTCTGCAGCCTCTCTGTGTCTCAGGAGACTCGGCGTTTGATCCACCGAGCTGCTGTGAAGCTACAAGGCGAGTTTCGCCATTGCCTTTCCGAACCGTGTGGGTTCAAATTTGAAGAATCTTTGAGCACTGGTTAATCTCGAGAAACGATTCAGGAAACCCGCACTTTCTACAATGGTTTGAAGAATGTGTTTTCGTAAAATGTTTTCTGCGGCGGCTATCTGCTTTTTACAGAATTTTCGATTCAAACCGCATCGATTGAGCTTTGAAACTGTGACTTCCCTGGTAGATGCTGGCTTCACGGACCTTGCAGTTCGATTTGTGGTGGAAGATGAGGTGCGCACCTCAGTGGTCTCACAGCCATCCCTGAATTCTCCACATTTCGGAGCCTCATTCGCAGGGTGGGGATCTGAGTTTGGATGGGCCATGGGTTTCCAGGCTCGGGCCAAGTTGGCCAAGGATGACCGGATGGGGCTTGGTGGGGCAAAGATTTGCCAAAGGTTACCGTGCTATCCTCGCTTGAAGCAGTGGCTGCAGACCATAGGGTTTCTTGATGTTGACTCTTCTATTTGAGTGGCAAGGTGTCAAAACAACCTTCTATTCGTGAGGGGGCGAAAGGAACTTCCGCAGCTTTTGGGATTTCTAGAATTCCCTCATGCGGATCATTCTACCTTAAATCTGGAGTGAATTTGAGGCGGTAGATGGTGGTTATGTAAACCATCTCAATCCCTTTTTTTGCAAATGATGATTGTCCAGGAGCCTGCCTCGGTCTTGGGAGCGTGGTTCGGAGGCGACGATTTTTGTGCAGTTCGACTTACAGAAAACGATGCAGGGATCAATGGCCTGCAACCCCAGACGAAGATTTGATACACTGGAGACTGATATGAGACTGATTATCCTCTGGTAAACTAACATAACTATGGAAAATCACAATCTTTAATGGGAAAACTCACTATAAATTGCCATTTTCCATAGCTATGTTAGTTTACCAGAGGGTAGCACCACTCCTTTCCACCACTAATCCTTTCCCACCAACTGCCACCTTGGGTAGATGATGTGCGTTCCTTCGATGATTTATTGCTGAAGAGCTACTTTTGCCTCGCACGGCACCCCAAGGGGAGTGGGCGAGTTGCAGACATGCATATCCTAAACTTGGTTAGGGCCGTCCAACCCTTTAAAGGTTCACACTTTTTGGCACCTGCAAGGGTTGAACATGCTGGAGTATGCTGGAGGTATTTGAGTTTTTTTTTTTAAAAGAATGACACCATAAATTCCCATAGCATTCGTCCACCCAAATTTGGCTGACCTTCTTGATAATCACGTAGTTCGATGAGATTCTATCAGATTGGGAGTTTCAAGTTTCACATGTGGGAACCCCGCATGGGACCCCGCATTTCTCTGGCTTGCACCTCCTGTTTTCTTTCACTGCTCGTTGCAATCCAAGTTTTCCCCATCTCCTCCGTCTCCTCCAAGTCAAAATCAAAGTCAAAATCATTCAGCATCTCCCGGTTTGATGATTCACATCCTCTCATTTTCGGGTACCTTGGCTCCACTAATGCTCCACTCCCAGGTGCTGCCTGGTGACGTCTCGGATTTAGTCATGGGCTGAGATGCCACTTGGGGGCGCCAGCAGGGTGCCAACAGGGCGCATTTCCGGCGTTGCGACGCCACTCTGCCGAGGCCATGCGCTTCTTCCACGCACTCTCTGCGGGCTGTGTTCCTGTGATCGTGCCGCAGATGGCATCCAGTGTTTTTCCCATGTAGCCATGGAAAATGGCCCATAGAAATAGATGGTTTACCTATTAAAAATGGTGATTTTCCACGGCTATGTTAAATAACCAGATGGTAGATACCATGTAGGGATGCAACTTGATGCAACCTGAAAGTCCAATCATGGTCCCCCTTTTCCATAGACCAGGTGGGTGGTCCTTCCACCACAGTGCCTTTGCCCTTTGCGGAGGCACGATGGGAGGGCAGACACGAGAAGTCTTCAACGCGAAAAAGCCACCTCCAAACCCTTCAATTTTCATGTTTTCAGTGGTTCCCATGTTTACCGGAGGTTGTTTCACTCTGCAACTCATGCTCAATTGATGAAATCCAGATGTCGCCCCCATTAGGCCCGCATTGATTTTTTTTGGCACAGCCTGCTTCGCATCCAGCCCCCTCCAGACGCGACCTGCCAAGCGCCTGCAGTTTGTGAACTACTCCCGTTTTGCCCGCTTCGCGCATGTGGGAGACGTCAGCTCCTTGGAAATGCTTGCAGTGCTTTTAGCTGCTTTCTGTTGAGTTGGTGTCCCCGGTGTGAGTTGACACCCCCCAAAGATCAGATACGCTCAGCATACTTTGCAGCCTTGGCCCAAAGATAGGCCAGGCAAAGAACAGCCATGGCACCAATTGACCCAGCCAGATCGTACAACAACTATTGAAATTCAGTTGACAGCTTGTGAACGATGTGCTCAGAGTTGCAGTGAAGCAACGAGAAGTGTATGTATGTGTAATAAGTTGTGAACAAGTATGACTGAAAATGGACCTTGCTGATCGCACCATCTTCTAAAAACCGCACACGTGTCTCTCTCTCTCTCTAAATATACACATATGTACTTAAATATGTACATAAATATGTATGATATTACACACGCAAACACACACACACAGATATATATATATATATATATGTAACATGTATGGTTGCGCATGTAGAATTGTGTGTCAAAGCGCATGAGTCCATAGACCGAATCGACCGGCTGGCATCGCGCCATCGGGGCCATCGGGGCCATCGGGGCCATTGGGCAACCATGGGGCTGTTCTCCTTCGAGATCCAGCCGGAGGCTTCCTCGATCAAAAATGGAGGATGGTCCTCCTATTCGTTTCATTGAGAGTATGATTAACATATGCACATATGTATAGATATGCATATTTCAATGATGTTTGATATTTATTGATATTTCATATAGCCAGCAGCCATGATGTTAGGAGTTAGGATTCCCTAACGATGAGATGGATGAGCATACCCCATTGATCCTATGCAACTTGATCGTGGCATGGGGGGCCTTGCGGCTTTGCATGGGAATGCATTCTCTCGGCGCGCCAGGTGACATTTAGCTCCGGTGCCAATGCGAGGCTCAGGTGACACAGCCAGTGCACAAGTGCAGGTTCCAGGTGTTGCAACTTTTTTGGGCGTTTCATGCGTTGGGGCACTTCAACTACGTATAGAAAGATGGAACTTTGCAACAAGATTCCCAAGATCAGGAACTTACCATGCCTTGATGGGGCTGCGCGGGGAAGTTGTGTCAGACTCCCAAAGGATCCCCCCTGAACCAACGGTTTTTCTATGACTCGGAAAACCGCTCCTTCTTGCATTCCCACCATTTGATGGTTGATTTCATTTGGCTAAAAGTCAAGAATAGGTACTCGTACCCCAACCATATCGGAAAAATGTTTTTTGCCGTTATTCATTTTGGCTACTAGGGCTATGCATATATATATATATAAATAGACTGTACATATACATATACATATACATTTAGATATACATATACATATACATATATATATATATGTGTGTGTAAATGTATGTATGTATAAATAAATAAATAAAAACACGCACACACACACACATATATATATATAACATACACACTAACGTCGAGTATGTTTACACATATTTTTTAAACCAAGACCTATCCCTTCAGAAGCTTTGCCAGACATCGCTTGCAGAGTTCCCGGTGCTTGGAACCCATCCAGCTCAGCAGGTGGGTTTGATCCACCGGGATTTTCTTGGTGATCTTCACGTTTGTGATGATGAATTTCCAACAATTGGTGATGGCTGAAACATGCTGAAACACAATTTTTATCGCAGGGTTGTGTGTTTTTTTAGTGCAGGCAAGGTTTTGATACAGGTTTTTACTTTGTGCTTTGATCCCGAGTGCGCAGCGAAGGGTTCTGGTTGATCTTTGGCGGTCTCGGGGTGGAGGTCTGTTCGCTCGACGTTGCTATGCCGTTAGCGACCGTCCGCAAGCGTCCGCAACGGTTCGTAATGAGGACCATATGGCCGTGCCTCTAGCGGCTCTAGCAAGTGCCGCTCAAGTTGCCATTTTTGAAGGTTTTAAAAGACACCAATGACATCTGCTAGAGGCATAGGTTGATGCTTGCATGTTTGGCATGGCAGGCGTGGAACCTCGTGACATTCAGACATGTGTGATTATGTGTCGAAAATCGTTTGGTGTGACAGCCGCAAAAATGTTGGAACGTTTTTCAACTGCGGCAAACATTGTCGCGGCAGGTGCAATACCTGGTGAGCTTATGGTTTTTCGTGCAGGTTCACTTTTCGCGACAGGGGCAATGGTTGGAACGCTGTGGAGTTATTTTTTTTTCGCTTTCAGCATTGGCACGGCTGCGCAAAGTGCGATGTCGCGCTGGTTTTTGGGTCAATCTTGGGTGAAGCTGCAAGGGCGTTGGCTCTACACTCCACACTCTACACCATTCTTCACACTCTACACTTTGAACTTCACCCCCTACACCTGCCCACACTCCGCACCCCACAGTTTACAAGTTTACGATGATACAGAAACAGAGGAAAGTTATAGAAGACTGTTTTAACAAGTTGTTTTTCAAAGTTTTGTACGTTATCTGCGTTCGGGTTCGTACGACTCAGGACATGGAGATATGGCATATATGGTATCAAAACAACTGGTTGCGCTTGGTACGTTCTTGGTTTCGGTCGCAGCCCCATATCACGCTAGCTGCAGTGCACCAATCACTACTTTGGGTAAACCAACTGCCAAATGGTAGGTCGATGGGCATAAAGTGCTGATGATATTTTTGCCAGCAAGAGTTGAAGTGTTATTTGCACGATAACAAGATCAACCAGAAACTGAAAAAAATCCCAGCATCTTCCAGAGATGAAACTGGTGCTGAGTTGTGGAGGTTGTGTCACTTCAGTCTTGGCTCCCTGACGCTAACAGCCACGCCTAATCCTGAGCTACCCATCATGAGGGAAGAGATCCTCGGATCTGATTAGATGTGACTCAGGGCATCTTTCATAAAGTGGATATCTCTGAAAATAGGAGATTTACCGGGAAAAGTATGATCAACGATTTTTTTGCGCCCTATTTTTCAGGCAAAGTGAAAAGGGAATATGTGAGCCACAGAAGCGCAAACAATGGCCATTTCAACCTCAAGAACCCCGACACAAATCATCTTCTCAGCTGTTAAAACAATGGTCATGTCATGTGGCTTTGTCTGAAAAAAGGGTATCTCTAAATCCAATGCAACAGCTGTTTATCATAATTTGCCGTTTGCAATTGCAATTTTATGCGCGAATCCACAAGTTTCAGACCCACCTATGGTCATCTTATATTCTTATATATTTGTATAGATTGCCTTATATCATATCCCTACAAAATGGTTGATTAATACCCCATTAAATCACCATCGAATTATATAAATCACCATGAAATCACCATTCAATGTCCATTAAATGTTTAAATCACCAGTGGGTCGAATCATCTAATTATCTAATTGATTAATAACACCCGTTAGATCATCATCAATCACCATTCCACCCAGGATCGACCTTAATGGAACGTTGCTGGCCATCGATTGGTTGGACGCAGCACCGAAAGACGCGCCGAACGTGACACCTGCAGGGGTGCTGCTACTCTTCCCCGGCATCGGCACCAATTCGAGGCAACCGGAAGGGGGACCGGGTGCAACAAAAGATGGGATGACGTGATGTTGGTGGTTTTCCCATCATTTCACATTATCCATGATTTTTTCAGAAACTGATCCGATCTGAGAACGATTGGTTTCCCTGATTTTCCTTCACTGATTTCCGGCGTTTCGAGAGGCGAGGCTTCACTGGAATGACTGCACATCACCTGGCCAAGAGCTTTCCAAGGCACAAGGTTGGCGATCCTTGGCTTGCAAGGATGTGGATCTTTTGACTGGTGCTTAGTAGGGAATGACGGGAATGTGGGAATGATCCATAGAACCATAAACTTAACAATTAACAATCATCCCACTATATAAATTAACAATAATTAACATATAATGGGAAATCTTAATAAACTATAGTAACTATACTAACAATCATCAAATTCCCCCCATTCCCCCATTCAGCACCAGAAAGTCTTGACAGCCTCCGAGGTGGCCGTGCTGCAGGGCCACGATGGCTTGCCATTGAAGTCGACCTGTTTTCCAGCGACGGCCTATGCAACTTGGAAGCGAATGGCAATAAGCGTGGGAAAGGAAATGTGTTCCGAACTTGTTCTGAACTTCGGAAGGATTTAAGGAAGCTAGCGGAAATATTTTGTCTTTGGCCTTTGGTCATGATGTTCAGGCAAATCCGCCCCATCATACGGGTTTTGGTCTCTCTTCCTTTGAGATCCTTTAAGATCGTAGCCCATTCGTAGCCCTTAGGTGAGCATTGGGGACACTGGGCGCCTCATCGAACATGTCAGCCGCCAATTTCAAGGCGAAGGGGAGAAAGTGGTGGGATCATGTGGGATGCAAAATGATCCAAACATTCTTGGGTACATAATGCACACATACATAAGTGTATGTATATATATATATAACAAGAATATTTTTCTGTTCCCGCTCAAGGCTCCATTAACAAATTAATTCATTTCAAATCACATCAATCTCGACGCAAGAGATTTTTTTTTTCGTTGTTTGATGGACTTGTGCGGCTGGCGTGTACAGTTTAGCTGAGATGGACAGATACTGCAAGATGGTCGTCAGGTCTTCCAATGGTGGTGGTGGCCTGTTCGATTGGTGCAGCCCACTTCACGCACTGGGCTGGACATTGGGAATCTCTCATGGGCCAGTGTTTCAACAACGCATGGAATTTGATTGAGGTGATATGAGTGATCCATTTCTGGCGCAAATTCCGAAGTTCCAAGTGATGTTAATTTTGTGCAGTGAATTTTCAAGAGGGGTTGGTCAATGTCTCTGTTTGGAGATTATATCATATGAATTCATATGATATCCCCAATAGTTGGGTGATGTTTAATGAGTATGAGTACATTTAAAGCCAACTATTGGGGATATCATACATCACCAATATGACATTTACCATTCATTTACCAACCGCCCTTTAAAGACAGCCATTGGATTTGCGTCGTTGGCCGCCGACCGGATCGCAAGGATCCCATCCCGAGAAGGTGAAGCAGTGTGGTGTGGTGGGTGCTGCCCGCATCTCAGAAGGGATTTTCCCAAAAACCCCAAGAAACAGCCGTTCTCATTGGGAAAATCCTGGTTGAACGATGTTGAACGGTTCACCCATGAGTTTTGGGGCTATTCTTTTGACACAATTAACTCATGGGGTGACAAATATCTCAGCAAAGGGTTCACTGTCAGCTCGCTCTTCGGTCATCATTAGCCAAGACTTCCGCACTACAAAAATAGTGCTGTATCTACCAGTAGCTTATTCCCCCCCTTTGACCAGTATGCAATGTGTACCCTTCCCATTAGCCATTCTGTAGCATCAGTGGACCACTGACATGACAACCGTCTACTCCACTTATCAAGCGTCAGTTACTCCCCATTACTGGTTAACTAATCCCTTCTCCAATTTTGGAGCTATTTAACATTAGGGGGATGCGTACTATTACTATTACTTACTATTGCTTTATCATGATTTAATCTGATGGTTACTATTACTATTTATTGATAACTATTGATTTACTATTACTTACTATTGACTTACTATTGACTTACTATTGATTTATCTCACCATCTTTGTTTTTTTTTGGGTAACCACTTCACCACTCCCATGGTTTCTGTCAGGTCCTGGTGTGCCACGGCACCTCGGCAAGGCCCGCGGCAACAGCAGTGGATTCCTCCGGGGCGGCGCCCTTCATCTTGGAAGCCTATCGGGACATCCTGAGGACGGGCGTTTGAAATGGAGATTATTTAGGAGAGAATAGGGATATTCGTTTTATGTATGAATAGTAATTGCAACACTATATATAAAACTATCCAGGATATATATATATATATATGTTGTATATTAATCAGTATATAGCATATGAATTGTAAGGATATGTATAACTTATATAAAACTGATTATAACCATAGCTGCCATAGCTATGGAAAACGGACCATAGATGATTTATGAAGATCAACCTGTTAAACATGGTGATTTTCCATAGCTACTGTACGTTAGACAACCATAGGGTAACAGGTAACTGTACAATCTGTGTATACATATTATATGTACACATATTATATATATACATATTATATGTACATACACAAAGTCTATGAATATGTACCATATACCTATAATTGGGTTCAATATGCTTTAATCACAATCATTGAGGACGAAATAGTTGTTGATCATCGGAGCAGAAAACTCTTAAACGCAGGTTGCCCTTGTGCATGTCACCCATTATGTGTGTATATACATTGTATGCATATGTGTGCATATGTATACATACATACATACATACATGCATGCATGCATGCATGCATGCACATATTTTTATAGAATACATATGTCTGCATACATACATACATACATACATACATACATACATACATACATACATACATACATACATACATACATACATACATACAAACAAACAAACAAACATACATATTTATATAGAATACATATGTATGCATACATACATACATACATTACATTACATTACATTATATTACATTACATTACATTACATTACATACTATTAATTTGCCTGACTTGAAATATCATCTCAGGCAGCATCATGTGACCCCTGATCTGCCAAAGCGCAGTGCCATTGGCCGTGATTCCGACGGTACCTGGCGAACTGCCCCTTTGAAGGAGTACCCTCCGGCAATGAACAGGGCTTTTGCATGTGCCTTTTGCCATTGGTTTCAACGTCACCCCTTTTGTTCAGATCACCGAGTTGATTCCAATTTTTTGACCAAGTGCCGCTCGATGGTGGTTCGAGCTTTTGGCAAGGTCATAGGCCCCGACTTTGGTGGCTAAATGGTCACTGTGGCCTGAATTCATTTCGAACTAGCTCGCTGCGACGAAAGTCCCCAGAAGCTGTGAAAAAAAAATACATACATATACATATACATATACATATACATATACGTATACATATACATATACATATACACATACACATACATATACATATACATATACATATACATATAGTATGGATAGTTGAGTGCTTTAACCGTTAACCACTATTTCTTTGGTTATCGAATGGATAGTTTAGGACTTTAAATGGGGATTTAACTATTGAACATTGGGATATAGTGGGTGTATAACCAATGGGATCCTGATTGGTGGTTTCAATTTTTGAGGATGATCCCGCCAGGGATCGGACAACGGTGACTTAACGGTGACTTTTCACGATGGCTATGTCCGACTGGGGGATTCATGGGATTCATTCGGGATAACCCAATTTTTGCCCATCAAGTAGTGTGGGATGGAATATAGGGTGCCCATGGGTAGCCTATTTTCAGACAAACTCGCGTGGAGAAGACAACTCTTGGAAAAGGGTCAGATAGGTTAGGGTTGGTGTTGCATTTTGTTCGGCGTCTCTCCAGACAACTCGCTTAGGAAGGCAAGAGCATGCAACATGATCATTTTCAGGAGGAAATCTTCAAAGCTTGGATAGAAGTTTCTATCCAGCAGGCAATTTAGCAACCCACTGGATTAGGACCAATTTCCCGGACTTGACCGCCTTCCAAGATATTCCAGGCTGGTTGGGATAAGGTCTTCCCGGTCTGGGACCAACATACTCCAGTGGAACACTATATGCCTCTATTTGTCACCTGCACCCGGTTGTGGTTGCAAACAAATCTGATGCCTAATTGTCCTGCATACGCAGTTGAAATTATCCGATTCTACCATGCTTCACGCGTGATTGGTCCCGCAGGAATATTCTTCTGTCGTTGGTGAGTATGGGCCGTTTGATGATAGTTGGTGCCTGTTTGCTGTCGAATGCCATGGTTGGTGAACAACATGTCGGGACTTCATGTGCAGTCATTCCTGGGAAATCGGTTTAACTGATGTCCCTTTCCCACTGTTTTTCAACAAGAATCGCTTCACCCAAATGGATCCAAATGGTTGAGACCGAATTTATGTAGATCTTGTTACTAAACCGTTCGTCCTTGCTGGAGAACGGACTAGCCAGATAGTTGATGTGTAACGCTGGTCTGTCCTGTCTGCTTCCGCGTTTGTTCTGAACAAGGCTTTGCTGCCTAAAAACAGGCTGCGCATGTAAGCTGTTTTTTCGTGGGGAAACGATGCCTTGAATTTTGGAACTCACGGCATTGCCAAAGGACCCTTTGGTAATCAAACAAGGCTTGCAAGAACATTTCCCCATTTCGTTCGATGAATTTCCCACGAAAACTTCCATTCATAGTGGATTTCCCATGGATTTCCCATGGTTTTCCAGGTGTTTTCCTCGGCTTTTCCCATATTTCCTCGTGGATTTCCCGGCCACGTTTCCTCCGACCTGACGCCAGGCTTCGACCCTTCCAAGTTGTCGGCGGCCAGGACGCTTCGAGACTTGGACGGCCCTCTGTGTGGTGGCAAATTCTCTCATCGTTTTCTTTTTCAATTGGGGAAAATGAATGAAAATGATGACAACATGTCTTTAGTAGGGAACATATGGGAAAATATGGGAAAAAAACTTGGGGGGTTTATTTTCAGAAGCCACTGAACTGTAACTAATAATTTTCATAGGCAGATTGGGGTAATTCATCACCCATCTGCGAAAGGATCGCCGCTCAAGAACCCTGAAAGCTTCATGAAATCCGGCTTAACATTTCATTGCAGTATTGTTACTTCGCTCCTAATTGCAGAACTTTTTTCATGTGCTACGTCCTCCTTGTTATTGTTCAAATCCACCATGTAAATCCAACATGACCAACATGTTCATCATTTTCCCATCTTTTTTCCTGGTCCCCCCCATTTTCATCCATTTTGATCCATTTTGCCTATCTTTTTTCAGGCCCCGGTCCTGGTTCTAGGCGAATGGGACGAGGCCGTGCTTCCGCTCTACGGCTTTCAGCGCCACGAGGACGTCTTGGACGCGGTGGATACCACGCCGCAGATGATGCGCGCGCTGCCGATGCCGACCGTCTTCCTGGGAGCGGCCAATGAGACCCGGCGATGGAGTGATGGGATGCCTACGGATGCCTACGGATGCCTATGGATACCCGTGGATGATGGATGTGGTATGATGTGATGGAGGAGATAGCTAGAGATAGCTATACCATGCTATAGCCCAGTTCCAGTGAATGCCATCATTTTCCGAATGTCAAAGGGACTCAACAATGAATGGGATACCCGAAGCAATGATCCATTTCGAACATGTTGTTTTTTCCAGGGTTCCAGTTGAAAATTATTGGGGGAAACTGCGGCCAACAGTATATTGGCGATATATCCTCATAGATAAACGGGTTATATATGGTCAGTTATATATATATATATGCATATGCATACATATGGTTTTGATATAGTTATATAAATAAATATATATATATGGTTTTTAATGGTCAGTTAGTTATATATATATATGTATATATACACACACATATATATATATAGAGAGAGAGAGAGAGAGACAGAGTTATCATTTTGATGCCAATTCGCAACCCCCAACTGCAACCTCCAAGTGGGGATGAGGGTGGGCTGATGGAAGGATTTCAGGCATCAGACGCCGATTCATGGCAATTTAAGATGAGTTTTGGACCAGTGGGTTGAAGAACATTTTGGAGGTTGGAGGAGGATTTTGCGGATTCATTGTGACACGTAGTAAAGACAAGAGTTCCAAAGAATTACTTGAGCATAAATAGATTCTTCCCACCCTGGCTGGCAATAGGTTCCGCACAGAAACACGAATCAACTCCGGATTGGTAGAATTGTTTCCAGCTCCGGTTTTATTCTCTTCCACTCAACACTGCAACCCCCATTATATCCCCATTATATCACCATTGTATCTCACTTATATGTAGTATATTGTAGTGATATACTTGGGATATCATGGTATATTGTAGCATATTGGGGATCCTATTCTATTATGGTGATGTATTGTGGGGATATGATATATGTAGGATCCCTGTTGTATTCCTGTTGTGGTATCCATCATCCACTCCTGAGCCCAGGATCCCATTACACCCAGCACACGCTTGCTGGAAGGAGGGGTGCATCAGTTGCTTGGCCATAGGATATACAGTGGCTGTGTACATGCCACCCCAAAAAGATAACCGATATAGTTTGCTTTTGGGAGTGATGTGCTGGACATACAGTGAATATGTATGTGTATATGTATGTGTATATGTACATGTATATGTACATGTATATCTATGTGTATATATACATATATGTGTGTGTAGAGGTATATGTATATGTATATGTATATGTATGTGTATATATACATATATGTGTGTGTAGAGGTATATGTATATGTATATGTCTATGTATATGTATATGTATATGTAGGCTCAAGGCTGGGGGTTCCCCGGAGCTTCGAGGAACCCTCAGTCTTGATGCTATACCATAAAGGTCGTTCTTGTATAGAGATGGGGGGTGGGGGGGTGGGGGTGGGGGGGTGTGTAATAACTTCATGTGAAGTGCGTTGGATGATGTTGAATCCTGGAAGATGTTGCTTGGTTGGAAGATGGTGTTACGTTGAAAGTTTCGTTGTTGTTTACAGAAGGGGGGTGAGGGGTGTGTAATAACGTCATGTGAAGTGCGTTGGGTGATGTTGAATCCTGGAAGATGTTGCTTGGTTGGAAGATGGTGTTGCGTTGAAAGTTTCGTTGTTGTTTACAGAAGGGGGGTGGGGGGGTGTAATAACGTCATGTGAAAAACATAAAACACTGTAAAACACAGTGTGAAAACAACATTTTCCATCGCCATCAAAAAAACTTCATGGACGCGAAGATAAAAAAGATGTGATGTTCATTTCGTCCATGGTTCTCCAGTGAATTATCACATGTTCTACTTATCAACAGAACAACCAAAAATGCATGAAACCGCACTTCCAATGGTTAGCATGTTCCACACATCTTTAGTCATCCATGGAAGATCTAAATTTATCCTGTTTCGGCGCGGACAAACGTCAAGTTCTTCCGCGATGAAAATGGAACTTCGATTGATCAAACAAAATTTAGAGAGACACATAAAACACTGTAAAACACAGTGTGAAAACAACATTTTCCATCACCATGCCAAAAAAAGGTTTGTGGACGCGACGATGAAAAGATGTGATGTTCATTTCGTCCATGGTTCTCCAGTGAATTATGACATTTTGTACTTATCAGCAAAAACTCAAAACATGCATGAAACCGCAATTCCATTGGGAAAAATGTTGCACACATTTTTGGCCATCCATGGAAGATGTAAATTTATCATTTTTCTGGGCGGACAAACTCCGAGTTTATCCGCGCCGACATTGATACTTTCACTGATGGAACACTTTGAAGGAAAGGCAAAAAACACTGTAAAATACAGTGTAAAATCAACATTTTGCAGAGGAGGGCCATTTATTTAGGGATTTTTTTTTTAGTTTAGGGATTTTTTTTTTTGGATTTCTTCCTGCTTACTCTATTGCCTCCTGCAGTGCTTCTCTGCTTCTTTGCTTCTATTCCTTTTTTTGCTTTTCTTGCTTTTCTTTGCTTTTTTGCTTTTTTGCTTCCCTTGCTTTTCTTTGCTTTTTTGCTTTTTTGCTTTTCTCGCTTTTCTGCTTTTCTTTGCTTTTTTGCTTTTCTTGCTTTTCTTTGCTTTTTTGATTTTTTGCTTTCCTTGCTTTTCTTTGCTTTTTTGCTTTTCTCGCTTTTCTGCTTTTCTTTGCTTTTTTGCTTTTCTTGCTTTTCTTTGCTTTTTTGCTTTTCCATGAGGTGTGGAGCAACATCTTCTCTTGGTTCGAAGCCGATGGGCAAGCTGCAACACAAACACAACCGCCAGCAACAACACCAACACCACCACCACCACCACCACCACCACCACGCGAGAATTATCACCCCAGAAGAGTAGATAATTGCAACTGAGAATGTGGAACTCTGCTTGACAACTCACGCCCTTTTTGTCTCACTGTGCTAGCAGAATTTGCGCCTCCTAATCTTGAGCCAACATGTTGTTGGCGGAATGCTGATCTCATTGATCAAAGGAAGCACGATGCGGCTGAGCATGTTCACAATGCTGTGGCAACAGGGAGAGCTGAAAGCTTGGTTGCGGTCAAATTCTCTAATTGTTTCCAAACTCACATTCGGTTCAGACGTCATGTCTGCTTACTCTAGTTCGGAAAAAAAACTCTTGCAAATTTGCACGGCTCTCAAATTGGAAATGTGATCAAAAGCGGTTCAAAAACTTCGATCTCACAGATTGCTTGGACCCAGGAAACGCAAGACAATAGGAGATCATCAGGATGTTCAAAAAAATCTCAACCGTGGAAACGTCGCAAAACGATTTCTGAGAAGCTTCAAACTCATAAGCTGTACCGCAGCTGATTATTTAAGGGCTGCCGCCCCTGCCGCCGACCCCGGTAAAGAATCGGGGATTGCTGGTGAAACAGGCAAGCTGTGTGACGAGAAACTTTGGCAAATGCATTATCACATGCAGGATCATGCACGAAGGGCTATGTGCGTAACTGGTGCAGCTTTCGGATCAATTGCAGTAAGGTGCTGGCTGCATGACGAGACAGTTGAATTAGAAGCTTACTCTGAACCCAACAACACATCTATGTGCATATGGGCCAAGAGACATAAGACCAAATTGCCAAAAGCTATCATGACAAGAAAGCTCCAGCTTAGTTGGTGGTATAAGATAGCTACACAACTTTTTTTTGGATTGAAGCTATTCTAGTTGGACTGCAGCAACGAGAGCTGAGAGCTACGAAATATGGCCCGTTCGAAACGATGGGACACGCCCAAAAGATTATAGAAAAAGCAGAGAAGAAAGTCTAACATTTTAGCTTTTTTCCTGTGTAACATATGGTGTAATCCACCCGGCGCAAACCATGCCGGCGCACAAGCTTCCCGGGGGCCGAAACGTCCCTTCTGAAATCCTACTAGATTACTAGAAATCCAATTGTGTCCAATTTTTTTCTCAAATTTTGACTGCTGCTGCTACCTATAATAAAGCAAGAAACCAGCAGCCAGAGACATTTTTTAAAACACAGCCGAAACAGCAAAACACCACCTAATTTCACACCGAATATGACGCAAAATCAATCACAAGAATAGGTTTTCGGGGGCCGAAACGTTCCTTCTGAAATCCTACTAGAAATCCAATTTTGTCGAACAGAAATCCAATTTTGTCTAATTTCAATCTCTAATTTTGACTGCTGCTGCTGCCTATAATAAACCAAGAAACCAGCAGCCAGACACCTTTTTTGAAACACAGCCGAAACAGCAAAACACCACCTAATTTCCTGCTGAACATGACGCAAAATCAATCACAATAATAGGTTTTCGGGGGCCGAAACGTCCCTTCTGAAATCCTACTAGAAATCTAATTTTGTCCAATAGAAATCTAATTTTGTCCAATTTGATCTCTAATTTTGATTGCTGCTGCTGCCTCTAATAAAGTAAGAAACCAGCAGCCAGACACCTAATTTGGTGCCGAACATGACGCAAAATCAATCACAATAATAGGTTTTCGGAGGCCGAAACGTCCCTTCTGAAATCCTACTAGAAATCCAATTTTGTCCAATAGAAATCTAATTTTGTCCAATTTTGATCTCTAATTTTGATTGCTGCGGTTGCTTCTATATAAAGCAAGAAACCAGCAGCCAGACACCTTTTTTAAAACACAGCCGAAACAGCAAAACACCACCTAATTTCGTGACGAACATAACGCAAAATCAATCACAATAATAGGTTTTCGGGGGCCGAAACGTCCCTTCTGAAATCCTACTAGAAATCCAATTTTGTCCAATAGAAATCTAATTTTAGTCAAATTTGATCTCTAATTTTGATTGCTGCTGCTGCCTCTAATAAAGCGAGAAACCAGCAGCCAGACACCTTTTTTAAAACACAGCCGAAACAGCAAAACACCACCCAATTTCGTGCCGAACATGACGGAAAATCAATCACAATATTAAGTTTTCGGGGGCCGAAACGTCCCTTCTGAAATCCTACTAGAAATCCAATTTTGTCCAATTTTGATCTCTAATTTTGACTGCTGCTGCTACCTATAATAAAGCAAGAAACCAGCAGCCAGACACCTTTTGTAAAACACAGC